GTGCAGCTTTAGTGTGAGTGTGTGATGTGGTCATGTGGAGGTGTGTCTCTGACTCACAGACACACACTCAGCAAATAAAGGAGAGACGCATTCTACTGCACTCACTCTCCTCCAACTCTCCCTCTCCTCTATTCTACCTCTCCTATCCCTCCCTTTATTTCTCCCTGTCTCTCTCCCTCTCTCTCTTCTATTCTACCTCTTTTATATCCCTCTCTTTCTCTCTCCCAACTCCCTCTCTCAGTCTTTCAACTTGTCTCACTCCTTTTCTACTTCTTTTACACCCCCCACTTTCTTCCTTCCACCATCACTCCATCTCTTTCCTTTCTCTCTCTCTCTCTCTCTCCTTTATTCTGCCTTTTATACCTCCCCCTCTCTCTTTCTCCCTTCTACCCCTCCATCGCTTTCCCTCTCTTTTCTTCCTGTCTGTTCATCTCACTCCCTCTCTCCTCCCTGCTCTCTTCTTTCCCTTTTCTACTTTTTCCCTCTTTTATTTCTCACCCACTTAAGTCGCTATCTTCTCTCCATTCTTGATATTCCTCTCTTTCTCTCTCTTTCTGTCCCACTCTTTTTAGTCTCTCTTCCACTCCTCTACACCTCCCCCTCTCTAAACCTCTCTTCCCTGTCTTTCATTCCCTCTTTTCTCTCTCACTATCTCATCTGACTCCTCTCTTCTGTAGTCTTTCTTCCTGTCTTTCTCTTTTCCTAACCCTCTCTCCCTCTCTCCTTCCTCTCTCTCCTGCTCTCTCTCTCTCTCTCTCTCTCTCCCCCTCTCTTTCTTCCTGTCTCTCTCTTTCTTTAATAACCCTTTTTAACCTTTCATTTTTTGCCTGGAGAAACTTTAAATCCTGTCTGTGTCTGAGCAGATCTGTTCCCACACACGCCCAAATACTGCAAATACAAATACTGCAAATACAAATACTGCAAACACACAAATACTGCAAATACTACTATTACTGCAAACAGCAGTACTGCAAGTACTACCATTATTGCAAGTACTACCATTATTGCAAGTACTACTATTAACTACTATTACTACACCTTTACTACTACTACTACTACTACTACACTTATTATTACTACTATACTATAAACTATAAAACTACTAAACTATAAAAATTACTACTGCTGCTTCTGCTACATTATTATTACTACTACTATTACTGCTACTACTTCTACTACTAAGTCAAGTACTACTACTGCAAGTACTACAGCTACACCTTTACTACTACTACTACTACTACTACTACTACTACTTCTACTCTATTTACTATTACTACAGTTACAGTGCAGGAGGTCAGTGAGGAAGAAGTTGAAGTACTGTAAACGTATTCAAATCCGGTGGAGAGACTTGGAGGTCCTGAGCTGTACCTGAGCAGCACACTGTCACCTTTTTCACCTTTTGCTCTTTTGCTCTTTTAGTTTTTTGTGACTCTTTCTATTGTGTCCATTGAAGGCGAGTGTAGCCCCGCCCCCTCCGTCCCATTGGCTGTAATCAGATCCTCCATTCACACTCACAACAGTAACTAAAGCCGCACTCAGGAGCTTTGCGGGCCTGTCTGACCGGTTTGGGCCTGGGAACAATAATGATCATGTAGAGGATCACGCGTGTGTGGTAACCACGGCGACACACCCTCGTCTGCACAAGCCCCGCCCCCGCAGCTCCACGCGCTCCAGGAACACGCACAATCAACACATGCGAGTGCATCTACTGCAAAAAAGAGTACACAAAAGTGACTCTTGTGAGAGTTGAGTCTGGTCCCAGTGTTCCCTCCTCAAAAACACACCTGGAAGAAGTACTACAACTGCAAGTACTTCTACACTTCTAATTCTACAACTGCTACTATTACTGCTAGTGCTACTACTACTAATGCAAGTACTACTACTGCAAGTTTTACAACTATACCTTTACTACTACTACTACTACTACTACTACTACTCCTACTACTACTACTACTACAATTACTATTACTGTTGCGGCAAGAGCTATAAAAAATTCTACTTCCACTACTACTACAACTGCAAGTACTACTACACGTCTAGTACTATTGCAAGTACTACTATTACTACACCTCTACTACTACTACTACTACTACTACTACTACTACTACTACTACTACTACTGCTAGTAAAACTATAAAAATTACTACTCCTGCTTCTGCTACATTATTATTATTACTTCTATAATTACTACTATTACTGCTACTACTTCGACTACTAATGCAAGTAGTACTACTGCAAGGACTACAACTATACCTTTATTATTACTACTTCTGCTACTACTACTACTACTACTACTACTACTACTACTACTACTACTACTACTACTACTACTACTACTACTTGCTGTTGTGGCAACAACTATAAAAAATTACAATGGCAGTACTACTACACATCTAGTACTATTGCAAGTACTACTATGACTACACCTTTACTACTACTATTTCTACTACTACTACTACTACTACTACTGCACTTACTATTACTATTACTACTGCTACTATAACTATTAAAAATACTACTGCTGCTTCTACTATTATTATTATCACTAATATAATTACTACTACAAAACTGCTATTACTTCTACTACTACTGCAAGTACTACAACTATACCTTTACTACGACTACTTCTACACTGTTGCTACAACAACTATAAAAATACTACTCCTCCTGTTGCTACTACTGCATCTATTAAAATTACGACTACACTTACTACTACTGCTGTTTCTACTATTATTACTACTATTACAACAACAATAACAACTACTACTACTATTACACTTACTACTACTGCAACTATTAAAACTACTACTACTACTACTACACTTACTATTACTATTATTACTACTATTACAATAACAACAAGATGCTCTGTTCCACCTTGTGATCCTTTTACCTTTTACCCAGCTCTAAAATCATCCACTTGATTTTAGTGAAGTATGTGTAGTTTAAAAACACAGTGGAGTACTTCTTGTATTACCACATGACATGACAAGGTGGAGCAGAGTGTTTTCAGTTTGAGAAGTGTAAATGTGCAGGATTTGTGTGTTAAACATGTGTGAATAGAACAGATAAACAGAAGTGTGTGTCAGGTGTTTATGATGAGGAAACCAGATTAGAAGAGATGAGGACAGAGTCTTATGGGTTCTTTAACATAAGTATGATTTGTAGAAAAGAAACAATGTCACAGTCAAATTTTTGGATTTGTGTCCAACTTTTTATCTCAGTAAAATGTAAAACTTTCTTTGTCATGCTGTATAACGTGCGTATAATGAGCAGCTATTAAACAGGGCTGCTCCAGATAATGAACGAATCGTGACAAGTCCACTGCAAAAGATAATAGCAGTCCTTCAGCCGTAATTGTGTAAATGAAGGCAGATGTGTTTACTGTGGAACATTACAGACAAAGCAATCGCATCACCATGGAGACGAGCCGGTGTCAGACCCTCCCACCGCAAAAAGTGACACAGTGCAGCTTTAAAATCCATCAAAACCACAAACGTAATCAAGCAAAAACAAATGAAACCAGCTCCAAATACTTTTACTTTTACTTTTAATTGAGTCACTACTTTGTACTTCTACTTCAGTACTATTATTTTGAAGTAACGTTACTCACATTTTTGGATACTCTTCACCTCAAACAACGACACGCTTTAAAAAAAATCTCGTTTCGTCATCACAAACAGACCTGGAGTTGTGTTTTGGTTCGTTCACATGTTTAACACACAAATTCTGCACATTTATTTAGGCTGAGCTCTTCTCCCAAACTGAAAACACTCTGTTCCACCTTGTGATGTCACGTGGTGATACAGGAAGGAAGAGCTCCACTGTGTTTTTAAACTCCACGCACCTTCACTAGAATCAAGTGGATTATTTCAGCCCTGGAATTGTCAATCTCGACAGAACAGGAACAGAAAAGGAGCTGTTCACTTGAAAATCACAATTAAAAACTACAACTTCATGACATCACAAGGTGGAACAGAGCATTTGAAGCTTTGGAGACGTAGACAGACTGATTTTAAAGGCTTACTCAATGCACAGGGGTGGAGTTAGCAATTTGGGGGCCCTAGGTGAACTTGAGTTTGGGGCCCTCACTATAATGCACTGTTTTATTGTTGTTGTTGTTGTTTAGTTTTTTAAATATATTTATTGTCAGTTTTTTTCCCATTGTTCATGAGACACGTACATCTTTCTTTGAATTATAGTGGATTGGAAACTTGTCTTATTAGTTCAGTCGTCTACCAGATACCCAGAGCTGAAAGTAGTTTTATTTTTTACATTTTTGTTTACATCCATTCCGTATGATTATGATTCTGTTCAAATCATCCTCACGTGAAAGTGGAAATACTTTGACAGTTAAAAGAGATTTGACAATCAGGAACTATTTTAATTCCTGTTTAAAAGTAAACCACTCTAATTTAACATTTAATTGGTTATATATGTTTTATATAATCACACATAACTTCCAACCGTCCAACCGTAAACTCTTATTTTCCGCCATGCACTTTTTTCATTTATATTTCTGGTCCTGTAGTTTTTATTACAGCCTTATGACACAACTACAGCAGCAGATTGTGAAATAACAGGTTGTAGTGAAAAAAAAAAGATGTAAAACACTTCATTAGGAGAAACTAATTAAGAAAATAATCCAGGAGAAGACAAATGTTCTAAAATTGCCCTTAGTTCTGGAAGTGTTAAAGTCGTATTGAGAGAAAATCAAACTGCTCTGAGGCCTTGACCATTAGTGGCACTGAGGGTGATTGTTTGGGGCCTCTCCAGGTTCGGGGGCCCTAAACTGCCGCCTACTGTTGCCTAATGGTAGCACCGCCTCTGCTCAAACGTGTGAATGAAACAAAACACAAGTCCAGGTGAGATTTTGAGGAAGTAACATTAGATCGTGCCTTAAAGCTCACCAGAGTCCTCCTGCCTAACACTTTCAAAACCTTTAAAGGAGCAGTGTCCTTCGCTTTGCTTTCCCCGCGCCCTCACGTCTCGGTTCTTACCTGGAAGATGAGCACCTTGAAGTGGTTCCTCTTGAGCAGGTGCGCGTGGTTGTTCTCCAGGCGCTTCACCTGCACGGCCTGCTTATCCAGCCGCTCCTTCACCTCCTTCACGCCGCCGCTCATCTTCCGGGAGCGCTCCAGGAGCTTGTTGACGTTGTTGGCCGTGTTGAGGTGCGCCTTGGACAGCCGCGTCACGTCGCCCTGCACCGCTCTCACCGCTCCCTCCAGCTCCTCCTGACGCTGCTCCATGCGCTGCTGGTTCTGCTGCACCGACTCCATCATGTTCACCAACTTATCCAGGAGCGCCACCACCGTAATGGCGCTCACCTGGCCGCGCTCCGTGGGGCTGGCGGGGGCCGGGGCTCCGCTGTGGCCGCGCAGAGACATGCCCAGGCGGGTGAGAGTGCCCGTGGGAGTCGGGGAGGACGGAGCGGAGCCGGGGCTGAAGCTCGGCACCAGGATCTCGTCTCCGTCCGCGGGCTGGGGCTGCGCGGCGCCCGGGGTGGACTGCGCGAAGCCGGGCAGGTTGTGGGTGCTCCCTTGGGTGCTCCCTTGGGTGCTGCCGGTGTGTTCCTCTTCCATGTCGGCGGGCGCGGTGTGGGTGCTCGGTGCTCGGTGCGGGAGCGGAGCGGGTCTGAGCGCGCGCAGGTTGTTAGACTCTATAAAAGTCCTGACGCGCGTCCACGCCCCTCTCCGCGTCCACGTGTGCGAGGACGTGCACGCGCGCCCAACTTTTCCAAACACGAGGCGCAGGGGCGGGGAGGGGCCTGTTACCATGGAGACGCAGGCCGAGCCCAAATCACAGGGAAGAGTCAAAACAGAGAGAGAGAGAGAGAGAGACACGGGGAGAGAGACAGGAGAGAGGGAGAGAGAGAGAGAGAGAGAGAGAGAGAGAGAGAGAGAGAGAGAGAGAGAGAGAGAGAGACAGAGAGAGAGGAGAGAGAGAGAGAGAGACAGAGAGAGAGACAGAGAGAGAGAGAAAGAGAGAGAGACTGAGCGAGAAAGAGAGAGAGAGAGAGACACAGAGAGAGAGAGGAGGAGGGAGAGGGAGACGGAGAGAGAGAGGGGGAAAGAGAGAGAGAGACAGACAGAGAGAGGAGAGAGAGAGGAGAGAGAGAAAGAGGGGGGGGCAGAGAGAGAGCGAGAGGAAAGAGAGAGAGGAGATAGAGAGAGAGAGAGGGAGGAGAGAGAGGGAGGAGGGGCAGAGAGAGGGAGAGAAGAAAGAGAGAGAGGGAGAGAGAGAAAGGGGGGGAGAGAGAGACAGAGAGAGAGGGAGACTGAAAAGGAGAGAGAGAGAAGGGGGAGAGGGAAAGCGAAAAGGAGGGAGAGAGGGGAGAGGGAGGGGAAAGAGAGAGAGAAAGGCAAGAGCGAGGGAGGGAGTAAGGAAGAAGAGAGAAAGAAGAGTAATAGAGGGAGAGAAGAGGGATGGAGAGAGTGAGTTGCAGATAGAGGGAGATTTTGGACTCAGACCTCTGCTCTTCTCTTCTCGGTTTGGCCTCATCTCCACATTGTCATCTTCTCCTCTCATTCACTCACTCACTCTCCCTCTCTCTCTCTCTCTCTCTCTCCTTCTCCTTCTCTTCTGTCCCTCTCCCCTCTCTCTTCTTTCTACTTCTCTCTCTTCTCCTTCTCTCCTCCTGTCTCACTTCTGCCCTTCTCACTTTTTCTCTACTTGGCCCTGTCTCTTATCTCCCTCCTTCTTTCCTCCTCCTCCTCTCTCTCTCTCTCTCTCTCTCTCTCTCTCTCTCTCTCTCTCTCTCTCTCTCTCTCTCTCTCTCTCTCTCTCACCTCTCTTTCTTGGTTTGGCTCAGTCTCATCTCCACACTGTCATCATCATCTCCTTTTTCACATTCTCACTCTTCTGTCCTTCTCCCTCTACCCTTCTCTCCTTCTCCTGTCTCCTTCTCTCCTTCTCCTCTCTCCTCCTGTCTCCTTCTCTCCTTCTCCTCTCTCCTTCTCTCCTTCTCCTCTCTCCTCCTGTCTCCTTCTCTCCTTCTCCTCTTTCTCCTTCTCTCCTTCTCCTGTCTCCTTCTGTTTTGGTTTGGCTCTGTGTCTCCTCCACACTCTGTTCTTCTGTTCTTCTCTTGTCTCCTCTCTTGTCTCCACATGTGTCAGTCCAGATGTGGATTTTTTAAAACTGGTTTCACTTTTATCCAAACTAGATTCTAATTTTTTAAATTTTTTAGTATCGATACAAAAAAATGTGATTGACAGGACAGAAATAAACATTTTTCCTGAAGCTTTAGAACGATGTTTCTCTGTATCAGAACAAGTAGAAGACACACAGACCAGTACACACACATGCACCACTGACCATTACACACATGTAAGAGCAGAGGGAATAGAAAAGAAAGTACTACCATTTAAAGAAAGGAAGGAAGGAAGGAAATAAGTAAGTAAGTAGGGAAGGAAGGAAGGAAGTCAACAAGTCAGTAAGTAAGGAAGAAAGGAAGGAAGGAAGGAAAGAAGGAAGGAAGTCAAGTGTATTTCTCTCGCTCTTTCACAGACACAGGTCGTACAAAAGATAAAACAGCAGAAGATACATTCATCATCAAATCACATCAGTGAGAGCAGCTCTGATCCTGAGGGAGCAGGACACGTGTTTTTATTTACTTTTTAAAACCGTCTACACGATCTTGAGAGTGCAGGTGAGGAGGCAGATCAGTCCAGAGTTTAGGGGAGATGGTTGTCGCTGTCGCCTCGTGTTTTTAAACTTGTCTGAGGGATCATGAGCAGGTTTTGGCTGCTGGACTTCAGACTCTGGGTCGAGGTGTACGACTTTATCAGATCTGTGATGTAAACAGGAGTCTGGTCCAGTCGGGGTCTAAAGGTCAACACCAGGATCTTAAAGTGGACATGAAAAAAAACAGGGAGCCAGTGTATGGATTTTAAGATCAGAGTGATGTGCGTTCTCCTGATGGTGCAAGTCTGATGGTGCAGAGTTTTGGACCATCTGCAGCTGGGTCAGTTCATTCTTGCTCAGAGAGGTAATCAGACTGTTACAATTGTCTAGTCTGGAGGACACAAACACATGGATCATCATCTCTAACTCAGCTTTAGAAATCATCATGTGAAGTTTAGATGTTTCACAGTTGGAATGGGCAGTTTTTAGTGATTTGCTTAGAGCAGGCATGCCCAAACTATGGCCCGGGGGCCAAATGTGGCCCTCAGACATATTTTTCTTGGCCCTCAGACTTCTATGTGAATTGGCCCAAATTACCTTTCATCAATTAAAAAATATTTTTTTTACTGCAAGTTTATTTAAATCTGCCTTGATAAAGCTAATATTGAATATTTAGTTTGTGGTTTTAAGGATCTTAGCATGAATAAAGACTGATGGCTCATTCTGACATGTTAAACATGCACAGATTTCAATTATTCACTGTACTAAGCACCAGTCTCGATCGGCCCTCTGCTTCGTCTGTGTTTAGAGATGTGGCCCTTGATGAAAAAAGTTTGGACACCCTTGGCTTAGAGTGATGTTCTAAAGGAGTGATATTACTCAAAACTGACTCTTGTGAGTTTTAAATCATGTTCTAATCAGGGTTCCCACAATCATGGAAATTCTGAAAAAGTCATGGAAATTGAAAATGTCATTTTCCAGGCCTGGAAAAGTGATGGAATTTTGTAAATTCAATTAAAGTTTTGGAAAAGTCATGGAATTTCACACAGCTACAGCATACTGTTAAGTTCTAATGAGGTTATTATGATTATTTCTGAACGTATGCACCTTAAATGCAACAATAAATGCACTGACAGTAGAGATGTAACAATAACCAAAATATCATGATATCGTATCATCAAAAGTCTCTCAATAATATCGAGGGCCATCACAATACATTGAATCACATGTTCCTTTGCTTAAATACATGATTTTATTGTAGTAACAGCTTATAAACATCAGGAACTACATGTCCCATGATGCATTTCAGCGCAGACAACATGAAGAAAATGTTTTTACTTGAATTTTGGGATTATGACAGTAATATAATATAATATAAACGGTAATATAATATAATATAACATAACATAACACAACATAACCTAACATAATATAATATAATATAATATAATGATTCTCACCAAAGTCTTGTCAAGTTATTTTGAAAGTAATCTTTCTACAACTGTATTTGCGTCTCCAAAATATCGCAATAAATATCGTACTGTGAGATTATATCGCGATTTTAGATTTGGATATCGTTACATCTCCACTGACAGAATGTTCAAAAACTATAATCCCAAACCATAAGGTGAGTGGAAAGAGTTCACATTTCAGATTTAGCCCTAAAAGTCTGATCAATTCTACACATGTAGGTGCTGTAAAGTCATGGAAAAAAGTCATGGAAAAATAGCTCATGGAAAAGTCATGGAAAAGTTTTGAAACTGAAAAACAGTGTGAACCCTGTGTAGTGTTGTTACCTCTTGAACACAGAGCTGGAGTTGTGTTTGTTTCGTTCACATGACTAAATCTTTTTTATAGGTCTGTCTCCAAAACTCAACTCTGTTCCACCTTGTGATGTCATGAAGTGGTAGTTTTCAGGTTAACAGCAAATATAAAGGTGTTTGGAATGTTTCACAGTATGGCACAGAGACCAAACCAGATCAAGTTCCAGGTCAGATCTGTGGAGAGGCGAACCCGCTCACAGTCAGAATGTTTGTTTTTCTAGGGATTTTTGAGCTTTAAAAGCACCTGTGATTGAATAAATGTAAAGTAGAACTGTTTAATGTCACACTGTGGAACATTCCAGGCAGAACAATGATGTCTCCATAGAAACAAGCAGGTGTTGGACCCCAAACCGAAAAGTGACACACCTTTAATATGAATTATGTAGAGCACCAATTCTAAATAAGAGTGTTTTTATATTATCATTGTGGTATCAAAATTGATATCGAGTATCGAGTGTGTTCCTGAGTATCACTAGTGTCAGAGTGTGTATTGTGTGTACAGTGTGTGTTGTGTGTGTGTGTGTGTGTGTGTGTGTGTGTGTGTGTGTGTGTGTGTGTGTTGTGTGTGTGTGTGTGTGTGTGTGTGTGTGTGTGTGTGTGTGTGTGTGTGTGTGTGTATGCATGTGTGTGTGTGTGTGTGTGTGTGTGTGTGTGTGTGTGTGTGTGTGTGTGTGTGTGTGTGTGTGTGTGTGTGTGTGTGTGTGTGTGTGTGTGTGTGTGTGTGTGTGTGTGTGTGTGTGTGTGTTGTGTGTGTGTGTTGTGTGTGTGTTGTGTGTGTGTGTGTGTGTGTGTGTGTGTGTGTGTGTGTTGTGTGTGTTGTGTGTGTGTGTGTGTGTGTGTGTGTGTGTGTGTGTGTGTGTGTGTGTGTGTGTGTGTGTGTGTGTGTGTGTGTGTGTGTGTGTGTGTGTGTGTGTTGTGTGTGTGTGTGTGTGTGTGTGTGTGTGTGTGTGTGTGTGTGTTGTGTGTGTGTGTGTGTGTGTGTGTGTGTGTGTGTGTGTGTGTTGTGTGTGTGTGTGTGTGTGTGTGTGTGTGTGTGTGTGTGGTGTGTGTGTGTGTGTGTGTGTGTGTGTGTGTGTGTTGTGTGTGTGTGTGTGTGTGTGTGTTGTGTGTGTGTGTGTTGTGTGTGTGTGTGTGTGTGTGTGTGTGTGTGTGTGTGTGTGTGTGTTGTGTGTTGTGTGTGTTGTGTGGATGTGTGTTGGTGTGTG